AGGTATCTTAACAGTGCTTCATTGTCACATTTACAGCAAATATTGAACATCGTATGCAAAATACAATTGAGTAACACAAAATTTGTTCTGAACAAAACCTCAAAAGTCAGACAATGAGTGATTTCAATCGGGAAAAGAAACACTTTTTATCATGACATGGTTCCACACTATTTTCAAAGAGGACTGTGTAACTTCTGGATGGTAACTGAGAATAACTGAGAGTTGGTATAGATTAAATTTGTCATCTTAGAATTCTACAAGTTTTACTCCCCTACTTTTACATAATCAGTAGTCTACCGTGTCTCATATTAGGATATTCCAGTTGCAAATAGTCCATAATATTAAATTCAAGGTTTAGATGTAACAATATATCATTTGCATAACTGTTGCATCTTAACATTTTTAATTATTAAAAAAAAAGAAGAAATTGCATAAAATGTTCCACATGGAGTTAAAACCCCAAACAGCTAGGACACCAAGGATTGTATTTCAAGTTGAATTATTCTCGTTTCTTGAGTCATTTACTGTTCTTAATCTTTAAAAGGTAATTTCAGTAGTTTGTCAACATGGTGAGCAAATTTATAAATGGAAACTGGAACAAAGATGCAAAAAAATCTAGCCATTCAGCAAAGAAACTTTAGTCGTGTTTCTGGCATTGTATTAAAGGAGTGCCAAAGGCTTAAAATAATTTGAAATATTTAAATTATTTTTAAAATGTATTTATTTTTAAAATAAATTTTAATACCCGAAGAAGGCTCCACAGCCGAAACGTTGTGTTTTCTTTCTTCTCTTTTCAGCATGGAATACACCTATTACTTGTTCCTTTGCATAATTTAAAAGATCATTTCAAAGGAATCTTGTGACCGACTAGGTCTTACAAGACTCCACTTTCATTGAAAGAAAAAAAGAAATATTTAATAGGAATATGTACACCACAGAATTACGTTACAGCAAACTGTGTGTGCCAGCGGGCAACATATCATATCACCATGCTCTCCCCAATTTTTTAAAAATCTTTAATCTTTTTTTTCTTCATTTTCTGGTTTCTGCGTGTCCTCAGTCCCCTGATAAAGTTTCAAGATCTTAGTGTCATGAAGTTTCTTCCATGTTCTAATTTCCAAATTATAGTCGTGATTGATGTAAAAAACAACTCGGCTCTTTTGCTTATCACAGTAATAGTTGGGGTATTTGGCATGGTCTGCTGTAATGAACCCATAGGCATCCACCTGAAAGTGAGACAGAGAAGGAAGTAAAAATTCAGCGTGGAAATACTGTACTTGGGAAAATTATTTAGAAAAACTGTACAAACAATTCCCAAAGACCTAAGTGCAAGCCAAAGACTTAAACAAACTAAAACCTTTAGAGTTATGAAATAATATAGTGACGTTGCACAACTTTCAGTAGCTGCTTTTCAAATTCAAGGTCTCAGTGTCCTGGAGCTTATCCTGTGAAACACTGGGTGCAGTACAGGATCCAGCCTGAATAGGACAACAGTCCCTCACAGGGCACACACAGAGGAAAACACACACATAATTGTTACAGAAGCTAATTAAATATAAAGATATTGCATCTTCAGGAAAATCTTCCAAATAATAACCTGTATTAGTTGACTGAGTACAGTATTTGTATAATCTAATGCAATTTAAACACCCAGGACACTCCGGGGATTTGTGTAGATCCAAAAGTACAATGAATAGGTGTTTAAACTGCAATAAAATATAATAGAATAGAAATTAATAGAATAGTATTTAACAGAACTTGAGTTTTGGATCTCTGTTTCTGGAAGTATTCAGTGCCCTATCACTATCTCATCCTAGGAGTCCTGTGTTGTTGATATTCAGAGATATAATGTAGGAGACACAGAGATTACCTAACAGTATTTTGGATTAGCAGTGAAATATTCAGGGAGTGTTCTTAAAGGGTGTTATCCGAGAGCTGCATAACTATCTTTTGGCGCTCTGCTTTTGCTTTCAAGGATAGCAAAAGTTCTGAAAAATACGGAGGAAAACACCTTACAACGTCACAGACATGAAGAGCCAGAAACAAAGTGAACGCTCCATTGGTTGGTCTGAAGATGTGCCAGTGTGGAGACTGAAGTTGAGTGGAGTTCAGAAACCTGCACAATGGAATTATTGGACATTCTTAGCTGCAGTCTTAGATCCAGTATTAGTCAATGTTTTTAAGGATATACTAGAGTGATATGGTAGTTACTTGATTGTTATACGTGCTTGTGGCAACCATAGAAGCATTTTGCAATGATAACAGATTTAAAACTTACACATATTAATCCATTATATAACACATTCTCCCATGCTATTTTATTGCATTTCTTAATTTGATGTTTATATTGTCCTGTTGCCTTTTCCACCTTGAAACTTTCAGAGTGCTATGGATTCAGAAAATGCAGAACAGAAGGCTATTGCCATATGGAATAAGTAGGATATCACTGAGGATATACTGTAATACTTTAGGTGTTACAAAATACTAATTTCAGGAGTGGTAACTTTTAAAGGCCAGTATTAATAGTCACTAAAACAAAAAGTGTAAGTATTTGTTGAAAGAGGTAATATCTTTTCTTTGAATATCCTTCCATGCTTAATTAAGAAGCTAAACATTCCTAGTGAGGATTGTGGACATCTAGTACGTATCCTGGAGGCTCAGGACAAAGTAAAATGTTACCCCTGACAGGAAACAGGACAGGGCACATACACATGCACACATAGACAGTTCAGAGACAGCAGTTTACCCAATAGGCATGTCTGAAGAAATCAGAAGAAAACAGGAGCAGCTGAAGTCAACTTAACTGAACAACAGTTAAGAATCAACAACAGTTGTTCTTAAAGGCTTGGTAAACTTTTATAGAGCACTAAATCAATAGGTTTGGTCAATATTATGCAATTAAATGAGCTGCACTAAAGGAGTTTAAAACTGGAACAATACTGAGCTATATTCTGAGTACACAAGACAAAAACCATTAATCTTAATTCAGAACATTTTGGGGAGGTTTGATTGAGGTACTCCAGATTCTGAAAGGGAAAGACAATGGTTGTTTTCCATGTATGTTCTATGTTTGCTCTATGGTTGCCTATATGTTTTCATGTGACAGTATTCTTTGACTCAGAAAACATTTTCACCCAAAGCTATACATACAAACGGCATAGGTCCTTTACATTGATATATCAATTCACATTTTTTGTTTTGTTTCACATTAAATTGGTGTTTATTGATGTCATGTCATTTATTCAAGTTATAACATTCTCTCAAGCCTGATTCAAGGCATTGGACAGTCGGAATGACAGACAGGATGACTTTCTCTCATCTTTCTCCATTCTTATGACCTTACCTATTCCGAATATATCGGAGGAAATCAGGGTGAAGCACATAGAACTTGTTTGGATCAAATTGGCTGGGATAATATGTCCAGAGCCTTTGAAAACAAGACACAAAATTAAGGCCTATGCACATAATGAACCAATACAAATGAATTATCAGCATCCATGGTTTTGTTGAGTGATGTTGAGTGATCACATCAGGGTACAGTGACCGTCCAAGCTTTTTTTTCTGGAAAAACTTTTCTGGAAACTCCAATCAAAACGTTTTACAGGCAACGGGGACGTCCCTTCACCACCACCAATGTGTAACACCTACCTGGATGATGTGATGACAGCCACAATGTGCCAGTACTCTCACCACACACAAGCTTTCAGTGGGAAAGAGAACAGAGTAATGAAGCCAATTCATAGATGGAGATTATTAGGAAGCCATGATTGGTAAAGGCCAGGGGAAATTTAGCCAATACACCTACTGTACTCTTTGTGAGAAACACTGTGGGACCACAAAGTCAGGACCTCAGTTCTCAGTTCAGTACTTCTTATCTACAGGACGGCATCTTTTTACAGTATAGAGTCCCCATCACTATACATTAGGACCCTCACAGACTGCCCACTACTGGCCCAACACCTCTTCCAGCATCAGCCTTAGGTTTCCCAGGAAGTCTTCCATCCAGGTACTGGCCAACCTCACACCAGCTTAGCAGCAGTGGGCTGCAGGGTGATATACAGTAGCCATTGGCCATATCCTAGATATAGCCAGAGGCAGATATACCTGTAGTTATGTATTAATGTTCCCAGTAGAGTCCTGTAGGCTGTTTCTTGGTACACAGTGAGATACTAGGGTTATTGTTTGGACACACAATAATAGCACACGTTTATCTTGTTTAAACTAGCTTCTTTAGGGCAGCTCTGTGTTTGGTTAGAACAGTTTTAACATAAACTGACTTTCACTATAAATCGAATGCAGCCACATAGCTTATGTGTGGTGAGCGTTCTGGCGCACTATGGGTGCCGTCACATCATCCAGGTGGATGCTTCACATTGGTGGTGGTGGAGGGGAGTCCCCATTACCTGTAAAGCGCTTTGAGTGGAGTGTCCAGAAAAAGCGCTATTTAAGTGTAAGCAATTATTATTATTATTATTATTATTATTACTTCAGTAAAAGTACTGTATGAATGTTATGCATCTTCATAAGCAGATTTCTATGATAACACATGAGGAATAATACAGAGACAAAGTGGAAAGACTGGAAAACGGAGTCTGGAATCCATTTTACAGACATTTTGTTAACTCAATGGGATCATTTAAGAAACTAGAAACTAGTTTGATAAGCCAAATGGCTTTCTTGTGTTTATTACCTTTCACGTGCTCTTCTAACAATCAGAATGTCTACTATTTAATAAATATGCTGATTTTGAAGTAATTGCCTGATTAGGATTCATGATGGTCATGGCTCATCCATTTTACTTCTGAAGAAGAGAACGTTTTATGGTGAAAAGTACTGTACATTCTGTTCCCTTTTTTTAAACAATGCAAACAAAAGACTTCTAGAAATAAAGTGGTTTGTGCAGGGCTATGTACAAAATCCAAAATGTTTGGAAACTGCTTTGGTTAATGTTTTGCATGTGTGTGAGAATGACTGAACACCCCTTTAATATGCAGTGATTTTCATCAGTTCCTTACAATGTGTCTTGGACAGTTGTGGTATTATTCCTCTTCTTTTTTGGGGTATGCTTTACTTTTTAAAAATAAATGTATTTAAGACAGCACAAAACATTCAAAGCAATTGTTTTGGGTGGAATCGGCAACCAGTCAACCTACTTTCTTCCTCGATACGGACCAGTGGCAACAGTGGTGTTCTTCAGCAGGCCAATGAGCCACTGGAAATCACGCATGCCTTCTGGGATCATGACGTACTTGGTTCCCTTCAAAAAAAAAAGAGGAGGCCATTATTTCAAATTATAGTGAAAAATTGTGCACGATCACTTGAGAAATGCCAGCCCCCTCTGATTGGCACAGCAAGAAGGGTTTTTTGTGAACCTCTCACAAGGTTCTATTTCCATAACCTGTGAACAGGGCACAGGGCAAAGAAGCACCAAGGTTCCATTCATGTTTGGTTAATGAGGTGGGGAGCCCTTGTGGGGGATAACCCAAAGGGCCATTTAGAGCAGCCGATCAAATGTGCATGCATGCATGTGTATTCTCCTGCAAATGTGCAGGGAGACTGGGGGAAATTGATGTACCCAGAGAAAGCTCCTGCAAACCTAATAAAAACGTGCAAACTCCACACAGACAGATGCTGAAGGCTGGAATCGAACCAAGACACTATAGCTTTTCTCAATGCTCACATCACCATACTGCCCCAAATAAACTTTAATCGCATTCATATAAGAAAAACAATTGCTTATCTGAACAGTCACTCTTCCCGGTGAGGGTCATGGCAAACCAAGGCACCTCAGAAGCAGGAGGGCACAAGGTCAGGTCAGTCAGAACACAAGACCTCACTTGTCCTGTATGCCAGTTAACTGTGGGCACAGAGATAGTAATTCAAGCCAATCCTGCACATCTCTGGCCAGTGGTAGTGTCCCCTTCTATCTCTTATTTGATGTTTTCCATTTGCTCCTATAGGATCCCAGAAAATCTGATCCAACAACAGTATGCATCAGACCTCCTCAACTCTTTGTGTAAAGAAGCTGTCGGATCTAAATGTACACCTTCTAAGTTAGAACATCGAGTGAAATGCAAACCTGAGAACAGAGATGAAGCAAGAACCTGATGCCCTGCAGAACTGTATCTGGAGTGCAATATGAATCACCCTACCTTAGTAGAGTCCCCCCTCCTCCTTTCAGACAACATCCAGCAAAAAGAATTTAATCAAATGTTGAATTACAACATGTACAGTAGTGCCTCTTCTTATTAAGACTTTGCTGTGTCCAAGTTCCCAGTGACATGTTCTGTGACAGGTTACTGGTTTTAGCCTTCTTTGGTTGGTGGGTTTCTCTCTATTTCTTTTTTGTAAATAAAGAAAACTGGGAAAATACCCTATATATTGAATGAGGGTTAAGCCTTGAGTATTTACCTCATTGTGTGGTATACCACTCATGCCGTGCCTTTTAAATAAAGAGATTGAGGAACTCAAGGAGTGGGCTGTGTGGACATAAACAGATGTTTTATTTCCCACGTCATCTTCATGGCCTAAAGTCACAGCGCCATTCATCCTATAGGCAAAAAACAGGCACTTGGTCAGAAATGGCTCTGTTTTTCTTGTACACAACTACCTTCAAGAAATGCAACAAGAATGGGGTGCTGAGTGTAACCTAGGTTTAGATTCCACAGCAAAATCATCAACTATTTCACAATACACATGGCACTTAAATATAATTTAAGACACAACAATTCTTAACTGTGAAAAAGCTTATTGCTTCCAACATAGTTGGAAGATAGATCACTCAGTTCTATTGTTCCCTCTTTCTAATAAGAAATTGCCAATGGTAACAGTTGATAACCATCCAAGAAATGATTTATGTGGAAAATAATTATGATTATTTTCAGGGAAAAGGTGTAGAACTATTAGTCGTATATAAATCTAGCCAATTTTGCACAGCAGGAAAAGTGCTTTGAAAGTCATCAGAAAATTACCAGGCATAATGAAAAAAGCAGGGTGTCTTATAACAAACCTGGCAAAAATGGACAACTCACCTAAATACATATTCATGTGAATCAATTTCTTTACCCATGCGTGAGCCATTTAAAATCCCTCCAGTGCCAACAACAGCACAGCGGATACATCCGTGTGCTTCGTTTTTTGGAACGGGCAAAAGCTGATAGTCTTTCAATTTCGGGATGAGCTGCACAGCCTCTTTGACTTCTGTAGGAAACCAAGAAGGATTATCAGTATTAAATGCACATATCCTATTCTAAACTTCATCACCATGTAATGTTGCTGCATATATAAAACAATTTAGCTGTAGAGAAACCACCTTTAAATTGAGCGCAGCCAGTGTGTGTTCTAGTAATCACTAAACAGATTAATTAATGGGTGACTTAATGTTTAAGGAAGTGTTGAAGAGGTATTGTGTGGGAAATAATATACAGAAAAATGCTTCAGAGACATATTGTAACAAATCATAGAAAAGCACATTTAAAGTACTGTATATAAGCAATTATGTGTTTTATGTTAATTGTTTAAGTTCAGCAAAATGTAGACAGCAGTAGCCAGAAATAGTAAGCAAAGTTATAATCTGCAACCATTACCACACATGCATGTTCACAGGTCTTTCTTAATATTACATTAATTGTTTTCAAGACTTTTTGACACATTTCACATTTTTAATTGAAAATGCAAAATAAGTTTTTTTACCAATAAAACAAGAAATAACAAAGGTCTTGTCAACTCAGGTCAGTTACTTAGTATTGTATGTACAGTGAAACTGCTTTCATTTTAGTTTAAAATGAATACAGGGCAATGTTTTAATGACAAATTGAAGGTTAAACATTTATAAACTGTGCCTGGATAATGACTGGTATGCTGTAGTAAAGTTATCAGTGTTGTAAGGTGTCCCACAACAGCTGGCAAATGACACAGTCTTGGTCATATGTTTTTTTTTTATAAAAGGCCTCCAAGCCCTTCACAAACACTGAGTGATCATAAATTTAGCTTAGGTTTAGATTCCACAGTATAATCATCAAAAGCAAAATACATCTAAC